CATTTTCTATAGGTTTTTGATCTAACGGTTGCGAGCACTATTTGACTCGAAAATGTTAACGATTATAATCAATTATTAATTTGTTTTATTTTTCCTTCAGAATCTGATGCTCCTTCAGGTTGTCTAGTCAAAACTGAGTTTCTGATTTTTGAGGTTTTCTAGAAGGTTTTTGAAAAACCCGATTTGAGAAATAATTGTTCGTGAAAACAGCTAAAGCTGGGCTGTTATACCTTATATGGATTGCTACTGGGTTTTGAATTTTCTTTGGAAAACAAACATTATCACGAGATTCACAAGTGATTGATTGATTTTTGATTTTGCCAGTAAAATTTGAAAAATCTATATGATGTCTTCTTCCACAGCTCATAGCCCCTCTTCACTTAAACACAAACTAATGTTATAAATTTCATTTTACTTTTCAAAATAGTTTTTTTGAAAAACACAAAGTGTAGATGTTGACAAGAGCTTAGCGCTCTAAAGAAGAAATATATGTGAATATGAAACTTGACTTGATATTAATCTAGTTTTAGTTTTATTGCCACTTTTCAGTTACTAGAGTTTCAAACAGAACTCAGTTCTGGAAGAATCATAAGAAGACACCATGATCAGATCCGACCTTTCTCAAGGGTCTCATTGGACGATTTCCTTCAAGAAAGACGGAGTTAAAACACGACAAGCACTTGACGAGACTCTTGAGAAATCTGGTCGTGGTATCTTCTTGTAATTATTGAGTTCTGTTTGAGTCACCAGTAACTGAAAAGCGTTTGTAAGACTAAAAATAGCTTAGCACTTGATAAAAACTTGGATAGAATTATTCAATTTCTTGTCTGATGACAACGATGTCATTAACAATATGCTCCTTTTACAAAATAATTTTGATACGAGTTTATGGAATAGAAATAATAATACAATGGAAATATTTTTCAAATGAACACACCTGTCACTTGCAAACTGATCGAAAAAGAAAGTCTCATTAATATGTGTGATTAAATCCATGTGAAACCGTGGAATTGATCTTGTTTATTTGACAGTTCAGATTGGTTTGAACAGTAATTAATAATTGTATAAGACAGCAGAGTTAATAACAGAATTAACAATCCAAGATAGAGTTTGATGATCGCTAACGTGTATCGATCTACTTTCATAAAAGATTCAATAATTTCAGTAAACAATATGTTAGACGCAAATAGCATAGATTTGTTTAATCTTTCGAGTACGTATCTGAATTTGTCATAATCCATATGATTCATTTCTGTAGAAGTATCAATATATTGTATTCGTTCAGCGTAAAGCATATCATCTGTTTGCTGAATTGAGCAATGATTGTTAATAGTATGGTGAATCGTACAAACTCTGAAATTATTCTGTAGTGGAGCAATTTCTGAAGTTAAATAGTTCTCTGTTGTCATGTAATTGTCTACTAATTCGGAAAATTCTGCCTGAGTGGAAGTCTTACTGATCGAGTAGGAGAATACTGTTTGAATTGATGCATCGCAAGAACGTTTCAAAGTATCAGTTTTTGATCTCATAAAGGTTGAAGAAAAATGTTTGATAATTGAATAATCATCTGCAACAAATGATGGAACAGTCTTGACAACAGAACTTTTGCTACTTATTGTAATCTAAACAAAAAATCGATCTCTTGTGTATTTTTTTCAAACACAAAAAAGCGACAGACCATCAAGGTGAAGCAAGTATAAACGAAAACCGGATGTTAGAATTTCTACTGAAATTACACTAGTTAAAAGTAGTTTTGTCTACTGAACCTTGCGATTCTTCAGTGGAGTTACAGCTTTAAGTGATCATTAAAAAAGGTAAAACTAATGGAAAGAATTACTTCATTGGCTTGAAAGAACATCGTCTTATTTCGTACTTCAGACGTCGCATCAGATTGCTTTATTAGTGGTAGTAAACGAAGCGTAGGTAGTATCGAATAAGTATTAAATTGAGCAGATTGTACTGTCATTACATTATTATTAACATCGTATCCTTTTAATTTAATGTCATTCGATAGAAAATGCATTAGCTTTTCTCGTTCTTTACAGTGACAATGATTGCATTTGCGGCGTTGCGTTTGCATAAAAAATTGTATTTCACGTTTTAGAAAATAAGCTAATCGAGGTCCATAAAATCGAGCGACCATCAACAATAGAGAATTTATTGTACGAATTACTTCGCGATGCATTTTTTTGTCACTTTGTTGATACTCTCAGACACCACATAATAGATGCAATGAAACAAATTTTGGTTGCCTTGGTGCGTATTGTGTAGCTTGAGTATCAAATATTAGGCTTCAAAAGAGGCTCCAGATAAAAAGTCTTGTCGCAGTAATCCTTTATTGCTGTCTCTTCCAGAAAGCAGTTGTTTCCTATACAATCGCCGTTTCCGTTGTTTCCTATACGGTTACTGTTTAACGTAGGATAATGTGATTACATTGTAGGCTCTCGTAAATACACTGTTAAAAAAAGTGTCTCGATAAACCATCCTGATGGGTTTAAAATGCACCCGCGATGCGTAATGTAGCCATGTTCGGTGCATTTTCTCATCTTTTTTACTGCTAGTCGCCTTGATGTCTTAACAAAACACGTTTAAGTCGTTACTTTTTTCGATATAAATAGCTTAGGTGCTTTAGATAGACATCGCTAACACATCAAAAAGGCACGAGGTACTAGCTCCAGTCGAGTTGCCTGTTCTTCCATCAGTTATGGATAACTCAGATAATCACATATAAGGCATTGAAATTCATCGAGACTCTTTGTGAATACCGAGCCATTCTGATGCCTTGAACAGGTCTATTTCGATATGATTTCAGGTTATTTTTTGCCACAATATGTTTATCGATTTTCTGTTTTATTTTATATAAAAGATTTATCTTATCGTCCTGTGATTGCGTCATTTTTAGCTTACTATGTCTCTTATTTTTAATCTGTTGCTTGTTTATTTAATTATGTTCTCGTCGTTCAAATCAAATTCATGAATTAAGTAAAAACGGTACTTTGTCCAGTCGTTGTTCCCCTACATATACTCAGATATATTTGAAAATTAAAAATCTTATAACTAATAAACAACTGAGTCCTTTTTTCCTAACTCATCTATATCCTAGAAGAAGACTAACAATCTTTCTGCCCTATTTGTTCATCTTACATAGACTTATTCATTGCTTTTTTTTTGATTTTTCAGTCGTCGGTTCAATAACAAGCTGTTGTTATTCAAACTAAGTGACGGAAATTTGGGAAGAATTTTGGAACAGCCTATTTGAAACAGATACGCAGCATCGAAAACAATCCAATGTTTAATGACAAAACTAACTGGGTAATAAATAGTAGAACATAAAGACACCCGCTTCTACGAGGATGTCTGTGTGCTGTCTGTGAGTGTCTTCATGTTCTACTAATATTTCGTCAATCTTGGTACATTTTGCTACTTCTAGATTAAATTCTAACATTAAATATTCTAAAAGAGAAAGCATAAAAGAGTTGCATCAATTGTTTTAAAACTTTATTTTGCAGTATTGAATAAAACTTGGTGATGTAATTCCTCTAGAATTCTACGAGAATCTGTATAGATCTATCGCAGATTGTTACAGAAATTGCTGGTTTCACAGTTAAGCCAGAGATGCAACCGGACCGTGCGGTAGAGAATTATCAACCAATACGTTTGATTCATATTTTTCAACATCCCAAAAGAGTTTTGGAAAAATCCTAGTACCGGTCGCTAACCGGTCAAAATTTTTAGTAAAGTTGCCGATCAACCACCCAGCCTGGTCTATGAATCGGCCAGGTTAACAGATGTCTGCCCGGTACCAATCACAGTTTTATTGACCGATTGCATCTCTGGGTTAAGCAACCTTCATTCTTTTCTTAGAGCGTCTGGATGAAAGGCAAGCAAAAAAATACGAACATTTCATGTTGATTCAATAATAATACTTTCAAAAATTTAATAACCATACTTTGAATAAACAGAAATACTTCCATTACATTTACAACAAACAATAGAGCCGATAGTATAAATAGATCCAGTCTTTATTGAATATGAGACAGGTTGTATAAAGTACATGCGTTTAAAAAATATCTTTTTTGACACAAAAGTAATTTTATAAAGTTTAAGACTTAAGTAAGAATCTTCCAAAGAATGAGAGAATTTAATCAATAAATTATGAGTATGTTTTTATCCATGTCACTATGATCATCATGTCGTAGGCCACTTCAGTACTGCATCACATTTAGGATATGTACATTCGAGAATTTTTATTATCTTCAAGATTCATTCAAAGCATAAGGACCATCTGATGCATCGATATTATTCCTCCTTATGTCAGTGCATCGAATCATACTAGGTCATAGCCGTAACCGTAAATAACTGGTCAAACATTTAACCGTTGTGACATGCTTATTCCGCTATTGTTGACACGAAATGAGAGTAATGTCATTAATTTATGCCTATATAAGATTTAAAACATTTTAATAAAGGCAGATTGGTTCTGTGTAGAAGCATCCAATAGATTAATAACGAACATAACGTTTACTGTACTTTTTATCGAACATAATATATCAGTCTGAAATTATGTACGAGCCTGTTGTAATATAATTGGAATCATATACAATAATCCTCACTTGTGAATTTTACTTGGAAAATTAATATCTTCTGCATATCATCTGTCAATCATTGAAAAACTGTTTTGTTTTTCGCTCATTTGGAAGAGATCACAGCTGTGACGTTTTTAATTTTTTTTTGATAGCCACCTTTTAACCATAAAAACGATGATTCCTGGTTCCGTTCTTCTGGCACAAGGTCTTCACAAAGAAAAAAAGAATCAATTTTTTTTTCTCTTTTATCTTTTGACTTGAGCATTAGTATCTATCATTTGTCGTTCTATACCTCTAGAAGCAGCTGTTACGTTGCGCTCTCGATTTTTGTGAGTATATCCATAATACTTTCAAATCTCATCTTTTTTATTTTTTCATAAAAGCGCTTTCTAAACGTTTTTTACGTTTTACACTATGGATAAACTTCACCAATCAATTACTGATGGATTAATCATGAAAATTGACGATGATATCGATGCAATAAATCTTGACGATGGTACAATTTTACCAACGATCGCGGAACATCATGATGAAGATAGTCAAAATGTAAGATAATACTTAGATATGCACAAATTGATACAGATATCTTACCAGATACCAATTATAGTGCATATGTATAAAATATGTATAGATATAGTTTGATGAACATTAGCATAATTGCAGAATTCTGTCAGATATGTTACACAAATATATAACAGCACGCCGAATGATTCCGAGAATTTTATTCTCACAAATAATGCTCCTGACTAATATTTTTCTAGCTGCTCACGAGAGAACATATTTAGGTGTTTAAGCCCTTTAGGTCCCATCTTTTGGCGATAGGTAGACCTCAATGAGGTATGAAAAACCTCAAGAGGATTTATCC